TGGCTGCCCTGAGCCTGGCGCGGTCAGCTCGGCGGCCGCGGACACCGGCGCGGGCAGGGGCTGGGCCGCCCATTAAAGTGCTCTCGCCACCGAGTGTTCTGCCTGCCCCGGGCCCCAGAGTGGGGCGATTCCGCCGCCTGTGGGCCCCAGCGCCCCCCCCTCCACCGCGCACCTTGCAGGGGCCCAGCTTGGGGGGGTGCTCGCAGGGCACCGAGAGGCCCCCAGGGCCGCAGGCTACAGCTCTGGTCTGTTCCTCCGCTGGGATGCGGGTGGCAGACTGGCCCTTCCAGAGTGACTCCTGCTGGACCCTGGGAGGTGGCCAGGGTGGCCTCGAGCTCCCTGGGGCCGGGAGGCAGCTCACTGTCCCCTACCCTGCGCACCAGGCCTGTTCCCCCACCGGCCTGCTCCCGGCCCTTAGGTTCCGGCTCCCTCCCTCCCCCCACCAGCACTGCCTCTGTCCGTGCCCAGAAAGGCTGCCAGCTCCCCACTCCCACCCGGGACCTATGTGGGTACAGCCTTGGTCAGGTGGACCGAGTGGGCACCTCACCCACCAAGGGGGGGAGGAAGGGCGGAGGTGGGCCTCGGCTGGGGGCAGGGTGGGGCTGGGGGAAGGGGCCATGGAGCCTGTGGTGAGGTCAGCAGTCAGCAGTGCAGCCAGTTAAGGGGAGAGCGGGGGATGTGCGGGGCGCAGAGGCCCCGACTCTCCATCCCCGCGCCAGAGCGGCCAGCGCAGGGTGGGGAGGGCGGGCCAGCAGGGTGCTGTGCAGAGATGCTCACCCCAGAAAGCTGGGGACTCCCTCCCCCGCCTGCCCGCCGAGGTGGCAGAGGGTTCGGGCACCTGGGTGACCCTGAAAGGGCCTCTCTGGATCTCCTTGGGAAGGGCGGGCCGCAAGGACGGGGCTGGAAGGCTGGCAAGTGGACATGAGCCAGGGGAGAGCCCAGAGCCTGCCGCGCCGCCGACCTGGGCACCGAGGCCCTGCCAGCCGCCGGGCCGCCTCCCCGCTCGCCCAGGCCTCGGGACACCCTCTCGGAGCTGCCTGCAGAGCGCGGGCAGGAGGGGCAGGCCGTGACCACTGATGACCTGCGGACGCTTGCTTTGCCTGCAGCTCGTGGAGACGCGTCAGCGTCGCACCAAGGCTGATTTCATAAAGCGCGAGGGAGAGCAGGGCAGGTGGGAGAAGCTGGACAGGCTGCTGCCCGGACCCCAGGCCCTGGGCCTGTGCATGGGTCTGGGGGTGAACCATGGCTGCAGCCACCTGGCCACACTGTGGCTCTTGGTCCACTCCTTTGCGAGGGAGGCAGAGACCCTCATGGTCAGGGCAGTGCCTGGCCTGCAGGGGTGGACTCCGCGTTTCCGGGCCTGAGTGGGCGTTCCCTGGCTGACCAGGGTGCTGTCAGAGGTGACGGGGGTGTCTCTGTGCCGTGGGCCTTGCTGAGTGTCCTGCGGGGGCCCTCCCACAGCCTCAGGCCCCTGGGGGGCCCTGGGGGGAGACTGGCGGGGTGGATTCCCAGCCGCAGCGCGTCCCCTAAGACACCGGAATTCTGGGTCCTCCAGGCCTGCCTGTGAGGGGCGGGCGAGACCCCACTTGGCAGTTCAGGTCAAGCTGTGTCCGAGCCCCAGAGCCCGTGCCGGGGCCTTGGTGGAGGGCGTCGGTGGCCTGCAGGCCGCACACGCTGGCGGGGGCCACTGCGGGGCAGGCCGCGCCCACTGCCTTCACCCCTGTGGGGGCCCGCCGGCCACGTCACCCCTCGCCTTCAAGAGCTTCCCACTGAGGTCCCGACGTCCACGCACTGGGTCACCCGCCACGCTCCACCAGCCCCACCTCACGGACGCGTCTGCCGGCCACCTCGGCTTCCTTAGCCTGGACGCGCCCGCTCGTGTGCCGGGACCTGCTGGGCTGTCAGCCGCCTGGAGACCCAAGCGGGGAGGGCCAGGCCGGGCACACACAGCCGCTCCCCGAGAAGCGGCCAGGCTCTCGACCTAACCGAGGTCAGCTGAGAGTGAGGGAGGGGAAGGCCCGAGCCGCGCTCCCGGGCAGCCTGCGGAAGACGTGCACTGGGGTGGCCCTGGCCACGACCTCTCGCTCGCCGGGGCAAGCCGGAGCCCCGCCGGCTCAGACCGCTCGC